CATCAGCTTGACTCACGTTTCGCTTCTCTTGTGGTGTTCGTGTCCGCCTCCCGTTCGTCTCATCGCTTTCTTCATGACAGATTAGAATTGTAACAATCTAATCTGTATCCATGGCAGTTATCCGATTTTCTATGAAGCCTGATGCACCCCGAGATCATCGCGTCTCCCACCAGGAAACGGAAAGTAGCCTGCTATTAGAAGTGTGATTGGCTCAGCGAGGAGTTCGAGATCAGGCCAATAAGTGAAATGCGTCGGGAAATATCGTCATGTGAAAGGGTGGGTTACCTTGTGAGCCGTTAGGCTGGATGGTGTCGGGAAGTGAACTTTCACTTGCATTTTCTTGTCTCTATGTCCGACAAATCAGGATGGTTATCATCCTGAGCGCCTCCGCTCCTGTACTTGAGGATATTCGCGAAGTGACTCTGTGGCTTCACTTGATACCGACATGTTCTATGGCTCCCCTCCTGAGACACAGTTTCGATAAAGCTTTCGTCTCGCGGTCTCGTGCTGGACAGTGGCTGAATTATCACACCTGTGTGGCAACTCACGACTAAGTACTAATATAAGTTATATTATATACCAACATTTCCGGACGACTATACGCTTGATGCAGACTAGTAGGAAACCACTGGCCGAATATCTCGTCTAGAGCGGTCTCGGCTTTAGGAGTGATCGGTCAGGCAGTCTGACCGGAGTAGTCTGACTCAGAAATCTAGTTGCGCCGCAACTAGATGATGACGTAACTCATCATGAGTTACTCATGCCACAATCGCCATATCGAAATGTGAGCAGTCGCTCTTCAGATGATAAGATCAGAAGCATCTCAAGAAAACGCACAGGCTGTGAATTACACTCGCAGGTGCGGATAGGTGGAAATCTGCGGTTTGACTGTCAAACTTTGACACCTCGGATGATGTAATCGCCGATTACAATTACCAATTACCGTAATTGGTAAAATGTATAACAATCGAAATTTTCGCTTCGAAAGTTGAAGGCGGAGAGAATGAAGGAACTCGTACTCGCAGCTACCTCCATACTCACAGCAATCCCCTCGAAGTCGATAGCTCGTTCATTACAGAACAAGAAAAAGTGACATAAAGAGTTTGGAAGCTTCTCTTTCATAGCACTGTTGAAGAGGTTGCTGTGAGCTATCCATGAATTCGTTGATGACTTCCATGACACCACAGGGATTTTCACTTACAGGGGAGTGGATCCCGCCGGAAACCTGCGCATATATTCACTAAAAAGGCTATCACACACTGTGGCGTGTAGGCTAAATCATCGGCGACTGTCAACACCTATGTAGGAAAACATGTGGCCTTATGTATGGCCTCCAACCTACACGGACACCAGGTTGCAGTAAGCCCGGGAGAGAGAAGTCCGAATTGACCAGAACGGAGGGAATAAACCGATAAGAAATCTGAAGACAGCCTCATGATGGTATCGCCTCTCCTCTAAAACTTGAAACTTCGCCAAGAAAATTTTCTCACTTCAGCATTAGCGCCAATGAATTTTTCGCCTACTCTCAGGGAGGATTTGAGTTCTGGTCGCCGCAAGAAAGAGATAGCCAAGAGAAAACCCTGTTGATAGCGAGGGTCATAGGAAGACGCACTTGTTAACTACAAGGCTTTAGCAATCGCATCGAGAGGAACTGCTAGCTATAGAACACTGCTGAAATCATGCTGAACTCCATCTTGATCTGCAGTACCCTGTCTGCGCCACATGACAAGCTGAAAACGGTGAAGGTGACGGAACCACACCTCTATAATAGAGGCTCTATTACTGTAGTAGTATTACATGACTCGGGTTCTCCTTCAGACACTAACTCGGATGGTGATAGGAAGTGGGTCTCCAA